ATATATATATATATATACATATAAATATACACTGACCGTCTTTCAGACTTTAATTAGTAAGACAGGATCAATACCCGACAAAGATTAAGATAGGGACGTGAGTATATACATACATATATATATATATAAACATACAACATTGGGTGCCAATGTATGATATAAATAGCTTGCGCACAATCTGCTTTTCACAAACCATAATAATTGAAATAGAAAGTCGTTCGTGCAAATCCATAAATTTAGCTTTTAACACGATTAGGAGGTTAATTGAAAAACTAAGGACGGAAGAGAAGAACAATAATAGCTTTGTAAGTAAGCTTGATAATACAAAATGAATAGTTCATATTTAGAGTAGAAGACAAGGAAACTTCCTAAGGTGGAAAATCAAATTATTCTTGCAGACCGATTGTCCATATTTTGTTATCTTTCACAAATTGCCATCCTCTTGATGTGAGATCAAAATAGTATCCCGAAAATATAACTTCAATATTATTTTAAACGCTGTCCGGAGGGACGCAGGAAATCAGGAACATTATCCAATTCATTACTGTCTAAAAAACGAGATTGCAGATCAATCTGACAAGTCAGGCTTCAAACCAAAACACGAGGTTAAAAATAGAATAGAAACCATTCATYTTCTAGGCTATACTCAAATATGAGTAATTTAGGAATATAGTAATGATGGCTGTGCGGCCTTTTTGAAGTGTGTTGGAAGAGCGTGGGTGTTTGTTCTTACTTTTAAATCGAGTAAAATAAACTCGCTTATAATACGACGACAAAAGTGATAGGTTTTGACTTAAGGTTTCTGTTCTGTCTGTAGAATCAGAAGGCTCAAAAAGAAAGAAAGAAAGAAAGAAAGAAAGGGAGGGAGGGAGGAAGAGAGGGAGGGAGAATAATGAAAGAATGAATGAACGAGAAAATAGGGACTTCCGAGGTTCTTCCAGAACCAGCGTGCGCTCCTAAAGTTGATTTTAAGTTTTCAAGTTTTTAAGCAGGGTCTAAAGATAAGAATCGAATTATTTGACAGCAAAAAGCAAGCACTTATYATAGTATCCCGTGTGATGCATCCATAGCTTCCTTTTAACACGAAAGRCTAAATATAAATGGAAACTTAAAAATAGGCATCGAAATTCTAGTCCCAGAGGCGATAGGAATATAACACGTTTTTAAAATTAAGAGATCACCGCTTTTAACGGCTAAACTAAGGATATTTTAACTAAATGATGTCATTTGAAATTTAGACACGCAGTACATTTTAAACCCTTTGAAGAAGAAAAATTAGAAAAATTAGAAAAATATGAAAMACATACATTACATATTTAAAAATAAATCATAAAATATAAATATACAAATGTCAAATGCCATACAATTTTATACATTTTTATTATGTCCTCGCTCGCGCGAAAACCTATCGATGCTTTTAAATATGTTTGAAGCCTACTCGATTCTTTTTACAGTATATTTTTTATTACATTGTCTGCCCCGATGTGATTTATACATGTAAAAACTGTCTATATTTTGAAACATATGGCGTGTCAACTTAAGTACACACCGCGGCAACACTACAAACGTGCATGTACACACACATGAAAAAGAAACATTTCAAATGCAAAAAAAAAAACAAAAAAACAACCGACCTTGACTGCGTTTTCATATATTCATGAGATCCCTCAATGTCTACGAATGTACAAAAATAAACAGTTCATTTCAAAGTTCAAAGTTTCAATTCATTGGCAGACGAACCTAACTAAGTAAAATATTTATAATTAGTCTTCATAGCCGGATTTTTCGCTTCGATTTGAAAATTTTTCAGCGATATTCAGATAATGCTAATCCCCAAAATACTTAATTGCGACGGTTGTTTTTAATTCATGTTATTTAAGATTGAGAGATATTTATTCTGTTCCTGGCACGAAAATAACAAAGATAAAAAAGTCGGTTTTTAGAAAAAGCTATAAGGAATAAAACCATTGATTACGAGTCGTTCAAGCTTTGGAGGCTCCCTCAGTTTTGGTTCTTGCAAACCGATAGATTTTTTCCTATTGATAACAATCCCACGCAGTTTTTTCTAGCGAATTAGATCCAATTCTAGAGAATTCTAATTTTGCCAAAATTTTGTCTCTTACGGCAAAATTTTGATGGGTATCCACTTTTGTCATTTCTAAACACCAATTGTATTACCAGAGGAAAAATAAATTAATCTTTGACGTCATAAGCAGAGTGACAGTTGTCATAGAGTATCTATTCTTAGCTCATCTAAGCGCATTGATTCGCTTAACATCACCTGTAGGCGAGCTMTGCTAGACCATTTCCTAGAGAGACTGTAAGAGCGAAGATCAAAAGCAAAAATAAGCGTTCTCGAATTCTACAGCTAAGATTATTTCTCTTCTTAAAGAACTGATCAGATCGGGAAAATCCTTCTTTCACAAATGAGGCCSATGGCTGGTTTAAAAATTTTGTCAGCGATTCCCGAGCTACCAGAAACTGGTCATTACTCGCCAGCTACGGCAGCGAGATCTCAACGGTATCAAAAGAAAAAACTCTCTCGCTTACATGGCTCTGAACCGAAAGACTTGTCTCGTTGTATATTTATTTTTCCTCCATCGATGTGTGTCGAGAAGGCTCCAGAAAACAATAACGAGTCCAAGAAAAGGGAACTACTTATTCCTAAAATTGTGATAGAAGAAGTGCGCTTTCCAGATGACCAAGTTCGGGATCAAGTTGAAATACGTTCAGAACAGTCCAGAGGCTTTCTCCATCCGTCTTACGCTATCTATGCATCTGTGTCTGCCAACGATCCTTGCGCACTCAAGAACATTATTTTATCTGGCAAAGTTAATGTCAATAGACTAAATGCGAGTGGTGTGACTGCTTTACACGAAGCAGCTTACGAGGGAAAAAGCCGGTGCTTAGAAGTCCTTCTACAATGTGGGGCAGATGTCGATATACGAGATCGTGAAGGCTGGACTCCTTTACACGCAGCAGTCTGYGGTGGAAATAGAAAGTGCGTTTCATTCCTGTTAAGAAATGGMGCTGATGCTCGCTCGAAAAATGACGATGGACTATCACCTCTAGGAGTTGCTATCCAACAAGGAAACAAAGAAATGGCTGAATTCGTCAGCTCAATAACCTCGAACTCTTCTGCTCGTCYACCAAGACGTTCTCTCATCCGTGCTGCTCGAATGTAATTATTAATTTTGGTATCAAACTCATCTTTAAGAAAGAACTTTTATTATTATTTTTTTTTTTTTTACGAACTCGCTTTTTTTTGTTTTTTGTTTTTTTGTTTTTGTTTTTTGTTTTGTTTATTTTTTTCAAAAACCGTATAATTCAGTGCTGGCTTTGTAATCCACTTATTAAAATAACTCTAAGAAGTATATGAAGTAAGTTACGATATAATGACCGATATCAAAGATCATCTTTTTTCAGCCAAATTTTCTTTTTTGAATTTTTTTTTTAAACCAAAACATTGAATTGTTGACATTGCTGGATTCAGGTGCATGCGTTTGGAGTATTGGACCCGTCTTTTATGCTACTTAGCTTGTGGCGTCAATCAGGCTCTCGGTTGTATAATGAGGTCAACGACCGCCTGAGGTAGGGAACAGTTCAAGGTCCAACCTTCAATGACCAAGGAACAACTCGCTGACTCATTCAGTATATTTGACTAAACAAATACAAARCTCTAATATATGTACATGCTTTTAGTCTGTAAACACAGTTGAAAATTTATAGAAAATTTTTTGATATTAATAAGTAATACATAGGATTGTCAGTTGACCGGACATGAATTGAATTTAATACGAAAATCAATATTATTCAAGAAAAAAAGAAGGATTGTAAATAAACTTTATGTGAAAGTACCTACAGAATGGTATTGATTGTCATTGGGATAATTACTGAGCGCGATGATCGGAATATTCTATATAGAACGTCTGATACATGGATCGCTCCATACCCTACTCGCTCCGT